GTGATCTGACGCTGAAGTAATTTCCCGTCTATGTAAGTTCAAAAGTTAATGTTAGAGCGTTAACGCCGAAGTCTCATTTCACCTATAACACGCTGGCTTGCTGCCTTCGAGCCTTTACCAGCCGGAATAGAGGGACATTACTCGCAAACAGACATCCTGACTATCCGATCCGTCCCAGACAACCTTATTGGCAATTATCGGTTTCTCTGAACAATTTTCTCTCTTGATTTTCAACCAAAGCCGGGAGCCTTACCACATTTGTCACTTGTCACCTTCCCGCCTTCGTCGGTTCTTCAGGCAAGCATAAGATACTGATTGAATAAGACATTAAACACTTCGGAGGTAACCCGGTTTACAAAATAATCTTTTCGCTCTGCGCCATGAGAAACACAATCTTTGAAGAAAGCCAGTTCAATCTGAAAATCTGGCGATTGGGCAGCCTGATGGTTAAAGCGTCCGCTAAAAGCGCCGTAATTTTCTCACTCACTCATTCACTCATCATAATCATAAGTGGATGAGTTTTGCGCAGTTGTAAACATATTCCATGGATATCTGGTAATCGAGGCAAATTCCTTAACCACAAGACATCGCGGACACCGATAAACTGAAGCCTCATAATCGTATGTACGTACGTATGTATGTATGTATGTATGTATGTATGTATGTATGTATGTATGTATGTATGTATGTATGTATGTATGTATGTATGTATGTATGTATGTATGTATTGTATGTATGTATGTATGTATGTATGTATGTATGTATGTATGTATGTATGTATGTATGTATGTATGTATGTATGTATGTATGTATGTATGTATGTATGTGTATCTGTAAGTGTATGTGTATGAGTGTTCAAATAAATCACTGTAAGTTGTCAGTCTGTAACGTCAGGTGCGTTGATTAAAGCTCTCTTACAGCACCTGGTGTATCGGCCACCTCCGTGGTGTAGTGGTTAGAGCGTCCGCCCGGAGAGCGGAAGGTCGTTGGTTCGATCCCCGGCCGCGTCATACCAAAAGACGTAAAAATATGGTACTTGTTGGTCTCTGCCTGGCGCTCGGCATTAATGGGTACAACAAGGACTGGTTGACTCTTAAGTGCGACGTTAAACTCCATTTCACCTCACTTCACCTGGTGTATCGTAAACTGCCACAGTGGTTCTGGTTTGCCTAGAATTGAATCCTAGAAGGGACAATCAAAATGTGGCAAAATTAACCATAATAATGTTGATAATGATTTGGATGAATAAAAAGATAACCCGACATAGCGACAGTGTCCCTTCTAGGATTCCATACATGTGCACAACGAATTGCGGCACCTGTCACGCATGACCTCATTAGTGACTGACCATTTAGAGGACTAATGTATGGATCGCCCGAAAGGAACCCTAGATATCCCTGTCAAGAAACCGATTCGGAACAACACACACTTACAACCCTCCCAGTGGTTAAACCCTTCGCTCGTTCATCATACCTGCATAATCTTAAGTATTGGCATGGATAATGAATATAGCTATCACATATGTATAAATATCATCCTACCTGTATAATCGTAAGTATTTACATGGATAATGAGGAGTTAGCTGTAACATAGGTATAAATACCATCACACCTGTATAATTTTAAGAATGTGCAGGGAAAATCACTGTAGCTGTCACATGGATATAAACACCATTCTACCTGTATAATATTACGTATTTATAAGGATAATGAATGTAGATAGTTGTCACATAGGTATAAGTTCCATTATACCTGTATAATAATTAGTATTTGAGATTAGATAAGATAAGATAAGATAAACTTTATTGTCCCGCAAGGGAAATTTGTCTTGCATTCAAAGACCCAATACAAAGCATGTAACAACAAATAATTTATATACATATATACACACCGTCGAGCACCGTTGTGTTGAAATCTGATAACTCGATATCTCTGTTGTCTCGATATAACATCTCGGTCCCGTCAAAATCATCATTCATCATTTGTCATTATTCAAGCTCTTTTAACTCGAAACGGATGTCTCGATATTTTGGATATCTGGTTATAAATTCATAGTCCCAACACGCGAAATTACCCCTTTAACTCGGTATTTGAAACGAAACTCGATATGCACCTACCTTTCATGGGCAAGTACTGGGGCTAACTGAGTTGAAGGTGTCACTTGTTTGTTATTAAATTAGGACTAATTAAGAAGGATTTAATTACGAAGTACTCATGTTACGACTAAAGACTACCGATAACGGATTATAGTTTCGTATCAAAACATACATAATGATATGTTATGATATGCCATGGTCTGATGTCTCGAAGTTAGGATAATTTGATATTTTTTTCTTAGTCCAATGAATATCGAGACAACGGTGCTCGACTGTATATACAATATCAAGCTACTCACAATATAATGATGAATCATAATCAAAGTACATAATATAATAATCACTAGTGCCACATCATTGATTTCACTATTAAAATTTTGGAGGATAATTTAGAAGTTTTATGCTGTATGGGACAAATGATTTTAAGTTCTATTAGTTTTGTAATACATGATTTTGAAACGGCGGCCAGAAAGCAGAAATTCATAACATTCATTTAAAAGGTGTGATGGATCCGTTTGAATGGCCAGAACTTTCTTTTCAACTTTCTTGGATGATGGATAACTTTCTTGGATAATGGATAACTTTCTTGGATAATGGATAACTTTCTTGAATAATGGATAACTTTCTTGGATAATGGATAACTTTCTTGGATAATGACATGGATAATGAGTAGTAATCTGTCATATTAGGTAAAAATATCCCCCTACCTGTATAATCTTTATAAGGACAAGTATTTTAAACTACAACCAATATTAAAAAACCCATTATAAATAAACATATTGAACATGGCACACATCGATATACAATTACTGATAAAGAGTAATTAGTACATATGACAATCATAATTAGCAAACGGCAAATTGAATATGATTGAATATCACACATCAGTATTTGTTATCAGTATACGTTTTCAGAGTAGGTATACTATAAAAGGCATATCACAATACATATTCGAGCGTTAGACAGTACAATAAATTGAAACAGAAATGGCGCGATCTTATTACAAACTTATTACAAAGCTGGAATATCAGCAAAGGCACGATGCGGTAAAACAACCGCAGAAACATGAAGATAATGTAAAACCTCATAGCATATACTAAAGATTTAACATTCTATACCTAACACCCACACAGTGATTTGCATAGATTTGTTAACTTTGGTTAACTTTAAAATACAATTGTTAAGTGTATCACGTTTCTTTGCTGTTTCTTGTTTTCACACCGAGTCAATATAGGAACAGATTTCGGGTTAACCTTTTGTTTCAGTTTGGGAATCGACAAGTAAATTTCGGTTTAACTTATTATTATTACAATAAGTTAACCCTTAATTTACTTGTTGATTCTCAAGCTAAAACAATAAGTTAACCCTTAATTTACTTGTTGATTCCCAAGCTAAAATAATAAGTTAACCCTTATTTACTTGTTGATTCCCAAGCTAAAACAATAAGCTAACCCTTCAGTTAGTTGCTGATTCCCAAGCTAAAATAATAAGTTAACCCTTAATTTACTTGTTGATTCCCAAGCTAAAACAATAAGTTAACCATTAAGTTACTTGTTCATTCCCAAGCTAAAATTATAAGTTAACCAGACATTTATATTTCTTCAAGACAATCTAATGATATATGAGACCAGGAGTCTACCATTGATATGTTTGGATTTGGAAAAAACAAAACAAATATATGCATTTGCTAAACAAGAGAGATATATTATCATGTTTCAAAGATCACGTGATTATAACATTCAATACATACACAAAGGAAACATTATTCTATCTTTCCAAATATGATATAAACGAAATACTATAAGCTTTAGTAACATATTATCAACAACGATGATACTTCACCCGTGTTGGTGAGGGTTAGAATTCAGTAACCCATGCGTGTCGTAAGAGGCGACTAACGGGATCGGGTGTTAGGCTCGCTGACTTAGTTGACACAAGTCAATAGCGCAGATCGTTGCTCATAGGTTTATCAAGTTAAGAACCCATATCCACTCATAATACTTGTAATTATGGCATTAGCAACTACATCCAACATCAGAAACTATATCTATCCAATGGGGAACATTCCTGGAGTTGCGCCCCCCTTGTCCGCTTGGGGCACTGCGGTAGTTACGGTCCAACAATCGCGGGTTTGAACACTCAAGGGAGTATATCGAACTTCAGTAAAACATTATACTTAGCAGTGTAAACACTTCTCTGAACAGCTTCGAAATACCGGAAGTACTCGTAGGACCGTAGTGCTTGGCGTCACCTCTTGGCAAAGTGGTAAAAGGGGGATAACCGAGGAATGTTCCCCATTACCAGAAAATACATCTAGATGAGTAATTCATTTGTTTCATACAAAGATAAATTCTAACAAACAAAGTTTACAATGATAACATAAGTAAATATTTACAAATATAAAGTAACTACATACAAACTACCCTAACATTACTTTACATATAATGTTACCATTCCAATATCTGAAACAAAAATAATCCCAATACCAGGAACTAAATGATGACGAGAAAGTACATTTTTCATACAAAGATACACTTGAAACATACAATGTATACAATGATAACACAAGTAAATACTTACAAATATAAAATCGCCACGCACAAACTACCGTACTTTGCATTGCATATATTGTTATCGTCCACCTTGTGTATCAGCAACAATGTTAAATTACAATATGAGCTGCTTGGTGTCCATCCGGGTTGTCATTGATGGAAACACCACAATATACTGGACAAAATAAGTTAAGGATATTGGTATTTTTATGATTGATATTTTATCAGTGTGTCAATGAATAAATAGGTCATTATTCATAATTTTTAAAATTTGCATATATCCCTAACTATTTTTGTCCAGTATATTTCTGCTGGTGGGAGACTGTACTCCATTGTTAGGATTTTCAGCAGAATTTAAATCCCAGTCATTAGGATAAGAATTCTCTTGAATATTCTTAAGTATTTACAAGGATAATGAATGTAGATAACTCCCACATAGGTGTAAATACCATCAAACCTGTATAATCTTAAGTATGTACGTACATGAAGAATGAGTAGCAAGCTGTCATATACGTAGGAATATCATCCTACCTGTATAATCGTAAGTATGTACATGAATAATGAGTAGTAAGCTGTCATATACGTATAAATACCATCAAACCTGTATGATCTTAAGTATGTACATGCATAATGAGTAATAAGCTGTATAACCAATATTCTATCATGGCTACGTAAAATACTCGAATTTGATTGGACAATTAATAAAATTAAATGTATCAGTTTGGATTGAAAATGCGTCTGATTTCATGACCGCTTCACTGCGCACGCACACAGCACTGCCGCACTACTTAGCTTGACCACCAACGTGGCTAATATCAACATCGAAGAATACAAATATATGATTTTACCTCCACAATTATTAGGGAACCTTACTGTCATATTACCTTCTATTATAAAAATATTCAAACCCAATTACAATGCATAGCCCTAAACATAAACAAACAATATCTAACTTATAAATTAGTAAGCCTTGTAAAAATACACCTATATTTATACACAATTTGCAGTGAAACGTTAGTAAACTTTTGCCTACCTGGTAAATGGTATGTTTGTTTCCTTTTAGAATGGGAAATTCGCAAGATAACGGTCAGGCAAAGCACCAAATATTTGCCACTCATACTCCATCATGTGTCGTTTCATCTTTAAAAAATACATGACAAAAACTTAAAAATTGAACCACCAGAATTCTGCTTTCTTCCAGTTTTCCCGCAGTCACTACTGGTGATCCAGGTTCGTATACTTTGAAAAAAGCTTGGCCACAATCCAGTCCCAAATGATGAACACAATTTCCAAGGATTCCCAATTTAGTCGCATGTACACAAATCATTGCGTTAGGTCAGCACTGTCACTCTTTCGTCGCATGCCGGGGTAGAGGCACGTACGTGAAATCATGATGGAAACTCGCCGGTCATAAAAATCAACAGTCTTTGATGAGTTACAACAAAGTTCTGTTCGCCTCTCATCCCATGCCGGGTTACGCTACGCGTTCGGCTTCAAATGAGATTTAGAGACTATCAATTCCTTTTAAAATTCATCTAATTTCCAAACACAGAACGTTTTTCTCCTCAATATATACAGTGATAATGAATGTAGAAAGTTTTCACACAGGTACAAATATCATCCTACCAGTATAACCTAAAGTATGTACATGGGTAGTGAGAAAAAAGATGTCACATAGGTATAAATATCATCCTACCTGTATAATCATTAGTATTGACAAGGATAATGTGAAGTAAGCTGTCACATAGGTATAAATATCATCCTACCTGTATAATCATAAGTATTGACAAGGATAATGAGCAGTAAGCTGTCACATAGGTATAAATATCATCCTACCTGTATAATCATAAATATTAACAAGGATAATGTATAGTAAGATGTCACATATGTATAAATATTATCCTCCCTGTATAATCATAAGTTTGACAAGGATAATGTGTAGTAAGCTGTCACATAGGTATAAATATCATCCTACCTGTATAATCATAAGTATTGACAAGGATAATGTGAAGTAAGCTGTCACATAGGTATAAATATCATCCTACCTGTATAATCATAAGTATTGACAAGGATAATGTGTAGTAAGCTGTCACATAGGTATAAATATCATCCTACCTGAAAATCATAAGTATTGACAAGGATAATGAGCAGTAAGCTGCCACATAGGTATAAATATCATCCTACCTGCATAATCATAAGTATTGACAAGGATAATGTGTAGTAAGCTGTCACAAAGGTATATATATCATCCTACCTGTATAATCATAAGTATTGACAAGGATAATGAGTAGTCAGCTGTCACACAGGTATAAATATCATCCTACCTGTATAATCATAAGTATTAATAAAGATATTGAGTAGTAAGTGAGTCAGTGAGTTACTTTTTACGTCACAGTCGGCAATATATCTACCATAACGTGACGACAAAAAGTCATATAGTGATAATATAATTACATTCAAACCTTTTTATAAAGCAGTCAGCGGAGGACAATACGACAACTAGATTATCACAAATTATTTGGAACTAGTTTGAGTTCAGGATAAAATGCTTCATCATTTCCAAACAACACAATATAAAATCGCGCTATAGATCGAAAGGAACTGAAGGTAGATCACAGTGCTAGGGACCAGGGGGACTTTCATTACTTTTGCTACCTGCATAGACCAAAACTGGATTTACATCATCTCTACAGCTGAGTAATTAAGTCATAAATAGAAAATAACAAACATTCTACTATTAAAACTCTGGCAATGATCAAATACATCGGATGATGTGGTCTTTAGTACCCTCTTCGGAGGACAATTATTTTGCACCACAGGAACCTCCTCTGAGGGTACAACTGTTAACAATCAAAGTTATTTTTTCAATCGACCAAAATTAAAAAAGAACTCATCGATTACAGTACACGATCAAAATTTATGAATAAACCCAACTTCCCTTACAACAGTCCTTTAAAGATGAACCTGTGAAATATCGATCCAATGAGTAGCAAGCTGTCACATAGGTATAAATATCATCCTACCTGTATAATCTTAATTATTTATATGGATTATGCACGTAGATAGATGTCACATCCTACCTGTATAATATTAAGTATGTACTTCAAAACTTCCACTCAGATAAGGTGCTGGTTGCAAAATGCCACTCAGATAAGGTGCTGGTTGCAAACTGCCACTCAGATAAGGTGCTGGGTGCAAACTGCCTCTCAGATAAGGTGCTGGTTGCAACATGCCACTCAGATAAGGTGCTGGTTGCAAACTGCCACTCAGATAAGGTGCTGGTCGCAAAATGCCGCTCAGATCAGGGTCCGGTTGGAAACTGCCACTCAGATAAGGGTCCGGTTGCAAACTGCCACTCAGATAAGGTGCTGGTTGCAACATGCCACTCAGATAAGGTGCTGGTTACAAACTGCCACTCAGATAAGGGTCCGGATGCAAACTGCCACTCAGATAAGGTGCTGGTTGCAAAGTGCCACTAAGATAAGGGTCCGGTTGCAAACTGCTTCTCAGATAAGGGTCCGGTTGGAAACTGCCACTCAGATAAGGTGCTGGTTGCAACATGCCACTCAGATAAGGTGCTTGTTACAAACTGCCACTCAGATAAGGGTCCGGATGCAAACTCCCACTCAGATAAGGTGCTGGTTGCAACATGCCACTCAGATAAGGTGCTGGTTACAAACTGCCACTAAGATAAGGGTCCGGATGCAAACTGCCACTCAGATAAGGTGCTGGTTGCAAAGTGCCACTAAGATAAGGGTCCGGTAGCAAACTGCTTCTCAGATAAGGGTCCGGTTGGAAACTGCCACTCAGATAAGGTGCTGGTTGCAACATGCCACTCAGATAAGGTGTGGTTACAAACTGCCACTCAGATAAGGGCCCGGCTGCAAACTCCCACTCAGATAAGGTGCTGGTTGCAACATGCCACTCAGATAAGATGCTGGTTACAAACTGCCACTCAGATAAGGGTCCGGATGCAAACTGCCACTCAGATAAGGGTCCGGATGCAAACTGCCACTGAGATAAGGTGCTGGTTGTAAACTGCCGTTCAGATAAGGGTCCGGTTGCAAACTGCCATTCAGAAAAGGGTCTGGTTGCAAACTGCCACTTAGATAAGGGCCCGGTAGCAAACGGCCACTCAGATAAGGTGCTGGTTGCTAACTGCCATTAAGATAAGGGTCTTGATGCAAACTGCCACTCAGATAAGGTGCTGGTCGCAAAATGCCGCTCAGATAAGGGTCCAGTTGCAAACTTCCCTTCAGATAAGGGTCCGGTTGCAAACTGCCACTCAGATAAGGTGAGGGTTGGATTCTGCCACTAAGATAAGGTGCTGGTTGCAACATGCCACTCAGATTAGGGTCCAGTTGCAAACCGCCACTCAGATAAGGAGCTGGTTGCTAACTGCCACTCAGATAAGGGTCCGGATGCAAACTGCCCTTCAGATAAGGGTCAGGATGCAAACTGCCTCTCAGATAAGGGTCGGGTTACAAACTGCCACTCAGATAAGGTGAGGGTTGGAATCTGCCACTAAGATAAGGTGCTGGTTGCAACATACCACTCAGATAAGGTGCTGGTTGCAACATGCCACTTAGATAAGGTGCTGGTTGCAAACTCCCACTCAGATAAGGGTGTGGTTACAAACTGCCTCTCAGATAAGGGTCCGGGTGGAAACTGCCACTCAGATAAGGTGCTGGTTGGAAACTGCCACTCAGATAAGGGTCTGGTAGCAAACTGCCTCTTAGATAAGGGTCCGGTTACAAAATGCCACTCAGATAAGGTGGTGGTGGCAAACTGCCACTCAGATAGGGGTAAGGTTGTAAACTGCCACTCAGATAAAAGGGGCCGGTTACAACAGGCACTAGCAGACTCGTCTGCACTAATGACATTTGCGTTCCTCTGTCATCTTACATCTTGATGTACATCATTAGCGTCAGAGGGGTCACTGGTGTAGGAAACGTCAGCTCCGACGTTGGGATAGTCGACGTCGGGCTACTGTCATGTTTTCTGGCAAACCGAGGTTCACTTTAGCCTTCCGTATGCGAAGTAATCAGGTTTGGACACGTCCTATATATAGATCGTTTTAGGCGGTTGGCCATTAATGGTTACGGCGTGGTATCTCATAGTCTTGCCGAACTGTGGTCCATACTGCCCCTGGCAGCGTCACAGATGAATACCATGAGAACATTGTGGTGCCATTTGCACAGGGTGTTGGATAACGTTTCAACTTTCAGGACCACAATGCCAGGATTATGACACCATCCAAACATCATATCAAGTACTGACCAGCACTCAGTCATGACCTTTTCCCCAATGAACACGTCTTGGAGGTCATGGCAGACGTGTGCGTCAACGTCAAAATCCACCTACCACTTTCAATAAACTCGGTAGTGATTTCACCGATGAGTGGAAAAACATGAGTAAGTGTGCCACTGGTGGACTAATCTGAAGCATGCCTTCAACAATTTGCGATTTTCTTTTCAGTGACAATGACTTAAAAATGCAAATTCCTAATTAGACCAGCGACCTCTTTAACGGCCTGGTGCGCCATCACCTCATCACATTAACCATTCGAACCAGGTAGATCAAGTAACCCAAACCTCAGGAGAAACGATAATGATTTCAATTTGCCAATACAATATCACATACTGTTTGCCCATATACTCATGGAAACGAATACGGGAACACATGAAAGTACAAGTGTTCCTTTATTCTTTTCCAGATTTCTTCACAAGGTAAGTATTGCACTGTGGGTGCAATTCTAGAAATAAATAAAGGAACACTTGTACTTTCATGTGTTCTCTTATTCGTTTCCATGAGTATATTATATCTTGAAACATGCATCATTCAATTTCAGAATAACTCACACACACACACACACACACACACATACACAAACGTGTATACTCATACTCGCACACGCACGCACACGCACGTGCACATACATAATCACATGTGCTAGCATAAATATCCATAGGACATTCTTGCAAATGACATATAATTTCATACATGTAAATACAACCAGATTACACTTACACAATGATCTCTATTTATCATGTCCAGCGTAAGCACCTTTCTCTTGTGATAATACTTCAAGAGTGACATTGTGTGTAGGTTAGCCTCTCAGATTAACATCTTTTCCTTCATGCACTTGATATTGACGTCACATATCCTGGGGTGATTTTTGCATGTCCTCGCTATGGTGTTAGCAGTTGAATTGCTATGAAGGGAAGCTTCTTCAAAAGGCTCAATCCTGGGTCTCTTAAACTCAGCATGGTATACAATTCAAAATGTCCGCTAAAGAGAGCATAGTCAAAAGCCTGCATACCTGCCATATCAAGCAGTGTCGTGTTACAATTAGCCCTTAGCAGTATCTCCACTATCTCTTTTCTACCTCTCAAGGCTGAAATATGCAATGGCGTTAGCCCATCTTTGTCTCTGAGGTTGACGTCAGCCCCAGCCTGGATAAGTATCTTCACAATAGCAGAGTTCCCGTTGGTACATGCAATATGGAGAGGTGTTACTCCCTTGATATTTTCATTGTTCACATCCGCACCACGTTGAACGCATAGTGAAACTAGTGATGAATGGCCAATATATGTACTTACGCCGAGGAGAGAATCATTGGTAACTGTCCTTGCATTAACCTTAGCCCCGCGATCTAATAGTTCACGAGCCACATCCACACTGCCTGAAAGAACTGAGTAATGAAGTGGAGTTCGCCCTTTTTGACATGGGGCGTTGATATCCATGTCAAGTGCTAAGAGAAACATCAGCAGTTTTCTATCAGGCAGTGTTGCTGCGTGGTGGAGAACAGTCACACCCATTGGAGTTTTATGCTGAACATCACAATGCATTTGTAAGAGGGATATCGCTGTCTCCTCATTTCTCCTCATGCATGCAACATGAAGGGGTGTCAGTCCTTTTACTGTTGTTGAATTGGGGTTAGCACCTTCAGCAAATAGTATCTTTAGTATATCCGGATGGCCGCTCTGTGCCGCAAAGTGGCATGGTGTCCACAGCCTTTCATCAGCTATATGGACATCTCCATCGTGTGATATCAAGAGTTTAACAATTCCTACATTGCCCACACCACAAGCTGTATGTAGTGGTGTTTTGCCATCATTCAATCTCGCATTCGCATCCCCCCCGCTAGAAACGATGACTTTGACTACACTTTCGTGATTACTCATAGCAGACACATACAGTGGATTTGAACCAATGTTGTTCCTTGCATTGACGTTCAACCCAGCTTTTATAAGCGCTTCTACTGTTTGTGTATGTCCATGTGCGGCTGCAAGAATAAGAGCTGTATCTCCTGTCCTGGTTGTCATGTTCAAATCTGCTCCCTGCCCTATGAGTGTGAGAACATTTTGCTTCAAACCATTCGTCGCAGCAATGTGTAGTGCAGTCTCCCCTTTACTGTCTCTGTGAGAACGTCTCATGTTAATATCTGCACCATACCGTAAGAGAACTCTCACGAAGTAATCATCTGTTTTTTCTGCAGCATAATGGATAGGTGCATAACCAGACCGACACGTTTTATTGACACTTGCTTTGTTCTGTAAAACACACTCAAAGATCTGCTTATGGTTCCCTATTACTGCCAGGTGTACTGCTGTAAGGGAATTGGGACCTTTGAAATCAACGGAACACCCGTGTTTTAGTAACAATTCCAAAATGTCCAAATAGCCTCTATGAACAGCTGTATGTATCAAAGCAAAACCAGCCTGGTTTCTTTTATGTGCACTGAACATATTCAGAGCACTTTCGACAGATTTAACTGCTCTAAGAGATCCTGTTTCCACTATCAAATGCAAGGGCGTGTTGCCATCCTTGTCCCGATCCAGCATGAAAATTAACCTTTGTTTCCACAAGGTTATGATGTCACAAAACCCTGAGGCAGCTGCCAAGTGAAGCGCTGTTTGTCCCTTCGTATTTGTTTTCAGATTTTGCCTGACGCCATAGGAAATAACTTCCCGAACGACTTCGAGTTTGCCTGTTTCCACAGCTGTATGCAATAATGATTTCCCATCCTGTCCTAGTAGATGAACATTAGCTCCTCTTGACCGCAGCCATCTCATCAAAGCAATGAATGAACCTCTGACTGCCAGATGTAAGGGACTTAATCCATCAAAAGTGCATACGTTTATTTCACCTCCTCTCCTGTGCAATAGTTTGACTAATTCAATATTTCCTTGAAGGCTTGCAAAGTGCAAAGCAGTCCAACCTTTTTCATCTCTCACGTTTACCACAACTGCAATATCAATCAGTGATTCAACGATTTCTTTTAAACCCTTTTCAGCAGCTTTTATGAACATTCTGTTGAAGTCAATACGTCGGTGTTGATTCTGAAGGTTCAACTTTCTAATAAGTGTCTTGATTATAGCAGTTTGGTTATTGTCGATGGCAGTTTGGAATGCTGCCTCCACAAAATCACTTTCACGTGATAATGTGCGGACATGCCCTCCACAATACGACTGCATAAGTTCAAACGCAGACTGGTTGCCATATTCACAACAACCAAGTACAACTTCTTCTACCATTTCTTTTGAAAATGTAGAATTTTGCACAATGCTCCTGATGAGCTTTTCATCATTATTGCTGCATACTAGGTAGAGGAATGAATGGTTTGATCTTGCATCTTTCATGCGCAATACTCTTTGTATAGCTGCCTTTGATAAAAGCTCCACGACTCCTTCGTGTGTCTTAAACACACTGTGAGTGAGTACTTCTGAAATGTTACCCTCAGTCAGTTCAGAAATGAGTCTGTTCATCAAATCTGACATGGGCCATTTAAGCAGAGGCATGTCTAAACAGGAACCAATAGTTCCATCATCATTGAACTGAACAATGTCCTTCAGATATGATAGGCTGCAATGATCAATTATGAACTTCAGTTTATGCTTACCAATTACAGCAGTTACTCTTTCCTGAACTGAAGCATGGGAAAAGCAAACAAAATGCTCCTCTGTCTTCAAATGGGATCCCATCATGTTCTTAATTGCTTCCCGTAGTTTCATGAAAAGAACACAGAGGCTTTCATTTGGAATGATATCAAATTCTTTTAACATGTTCGCAATCTGACGTTGTTTTCCTGTAGGTTCTTTCGATAAAATTAGCTTGGAAACGTCAAGCCGACCCTCTTCATAAACAAGAAGGCAGTAAGCAGCTCGTTTGTACAAATCTTGCCAGTTAGCTGTGATAGTGTCATCAAGAAACAGTTTGGGATACTCAAAGAATTCTTCTGGTTTGTCCGTTGTACTTCTAAGGGTGAAAAACAGTAGGCAAATGGACGGAAAACCATAAGGGAAAGTCAGCCCAACGAGCTTGTCAATCTCTTCATCAGCCAGCTGTTCTTTCTCGGGATGTTGAAGTTGATGGCATTTGAATATTTTCTTTTTGTCTGACGTTGATAATGACTTTGTTGTAATGTTAAGAATCTTTGGCCTTGAAAACAAAAAAGTTTGAAACTTTTCCAATTGGGGGGTAGCTTCTTGAAGAATGTAATCCCTGGATGTAAATAGTGCCAGAAATCCGGGGTCTCCAGAGCAATACAATCTTTTCTGTACATCTTCAAGGACTGGTTTCCATCGTCTTAATTCATTTGGATCAAAATAGATGGATCCAAAAATGTCATGAAATAAGACTATTGTCTTTGACTGAATACACAGTTGAAAAAATTCATCTGGACTTTTTAGCACAAACACCTTCCATCCCTTTTCCAATAAAGCATTCAAGATTAAATATGCAACGGTTGACTTTCCTTCCCCTGGTGCCCCAGTTACAGTTAAGACATTGTTCTTCTCCAGTTGTTCCCTTGCTGTCTGCACAATTTCAGTGTTGACCATATTTTGAGAACACCTCCCAACCTCTGCCTCTGACCGTTCTGGAACAATAAGCAGACCAGGTTCGATAAACATGAACATGTTATCATGTTATGCCTATGGAAATATTAATCAATTTCAGTTCCACTAATAAACATCCTGGCAAATGGACTATCTTCAAAATGTCAAGTTTCATAATTTTGCAGTCTAATTGA